ACCCCACAACAATTTCCCTATCCCGCCATCAGATGTTCATAGGGAAGTGACATGTCTGTACTCTCCCAGCCCTCAGTGTTTTGCCTCTTCCACTGGTGGAATCTGGCACCTACAAATTTCCCCCCTCTTACAGTTTTTATTTGCTTCAAGACTGGGGTTGTGGATGTTGGAAATTGCCTTACTAAGCTAAAAATATGAAAGAGAGGTGAGATTGGCTGGTGTTAATGCAAAAATCTGAGTAACAAAGCAATAGCACAAGGCCTTATAGGTAAATGCTTAGGTTTCCTTATCAGCAAAATGGTCGTCGTGCTAATGGTACTGACCTAGGATTGTTATTTGGATGACAGTACTGAGTGTGGGATTACCGTGAGCCATAGTAAGACTCAAGTTGATTTGAAAGGTGAGGCATACGACTGCTTAAGTATCGCCAAAGTTTGTAAATTTGGTTTGCCTTGTTATCAGAGGGACATCTTCTCAGATGGGATTGACTGTTCCTAAACCTGAGTCTCATAGTAAGGCCTTAACAATAGTTTAGTGACCCATTCCTGAGTTAAGCACCTAAGGTTTCTTGATATTCCTATTGGTATCTTATAGCAAGTATCATATTGGTGTAATTGGCCCAGGTTTTTCATTACCTGTATAAGAGAGGTATTATTATTATTAGGGGATCAGTGCACAAATTTGTGTACACTGGAAGAAACTGTAGGCTGAGAGGCTATGGTAGGCACAGGAGCAGGTCTTGGCCCATCCTCTGTGCCCATGCTCAACCCTACCCTCCATGCCCTCCCTCCCATGTCTGTTGGCTCACTCTGATGACAGTGACCAGTGTCCTGCCTTGGTCTGACACTTCCGCTCACCTGTTCCACCATCACCCGGGGCGAAACCTGCCATGTTACTTACTCTGCTGCCTGCTGCCAACGCCCGCCATTTTTTTAAAAATATATTTTATTGATTTTGTACAGAGAGGGAGAGAGAGAGTCAGAAACATCGATGAGAGAGAGTCATCAACCAGCTGCCTCTTGCACACCCCCTACTGGGGATATGCCCGCAACCAAGGTACATGCCCTTGACCAGAATCGAACCCAGGACCCTTCAGTCCCCAAGCCGACGCTCTATCCATTGAGCCAAACCGGTCCTGGCCAACGCCCGCCATTTTTTGCATGCAGCTCCTGGTGATCAGTGCATGTCCTAATGACTGGTTGTTCATTTGTGCTGCTCTTCAGTGTATTTGAATATTAGAATCTTATATATATCAACTAGAGGCCTGGTGCATGAAATTCATGCATGCGGGTAGGGGGAGGTGTCCCTCAGTCCAGCCTGAACCTTCTCCAATCTGGGACCTCTTGAGGGCAGTCGGACATCCCTCTCACAATCCAGCACTACTCACCTGCCTGTCTGCCTGCCTGCCTGATTACCCCTAACCGCTTTTTCCTGCCAGCCTGATCACCCCTAACCATTCCCCTGCCAGCCTAATCAATGCCTAACTCCTCCCCTAATGGCCTGGTTTCCCCCCCAAAAAAAATGTTCTCCCCTGCAGGCCTGGTCCCCCCTAACTGCCCTCCCCTGTAGGCCTGGTCTCCCCCAACTGCCCTTCTCTGCTATCCTGATCACCCATATCTGCCCTCCCCTGCAGGCCTTATTCCTCCCCCAATTTCCCTCCCCTGCAGGCCTGGTACCCCCCCCCCCCCAACTGCCCTCCCTTGCAGGCCTGGTCTCTCCCAACTGTCCTCCCCTGCCTGCTGGGTCACCCCCAACTTCCCTCCTCTACTCGGGTGGTCCCCCTCAACTGTCCTCCCCTGCAGGCCTGGTCCCCCCCAACTGCCTCCCTTGCAGGCCTAATCTCCCCCAACTGCCCTCCTCTGCCAGCTCAGTCACCCCTAACTGCCCTTCCCTGATTGCCTGATCACCCACAACTGCCCTCCCCTGCAGGCCATCTTGTGGTGGCCATCTTGTGTCCATATGGGAGCAACCATATTTGACCACATAGGGGGTGGCCATCTTGTGTGTTGGATTGATGGTCAATTTGCATAGTACTCTTTTATTAGATAGGATTATTGTACAAAAGCAAGCAAAAACTTATTGAGGTGCAGCAGAAACATACTTAGGGCAGTGAAACAAGGAAGGGTGTAGAAGCAACAGGAGAGCCTAGGCTGAGCTGCTTTGGCTCACTGGGAAGTCAGAGAAAGGGGGCCCTTGAAGACAGGTTCAGGGGATTAGCCCCAGAGGAGCTGACACTGCTTACTGCTCCCCTGGTTGCAAGTCTCATGGGGTCCCTGGGAGGTTAGGAGACACACGCCTGTGGGGGAATGACAGCATGCTCCCTGGAGGGAGAGAGCAATTATGGAGGTATTATTGATGAGGTCCTCTAGACAGAAAGATCAGTGACTTGCTGAAACCCATCCACACTGAGCATTTTTCTGGCTTTAACTTTAGCATTTGGTCTGAAATATATATTAATAACTTATTAGGACAGCTCAAATAGTTTGGTACTCACACCTTTAAGATGGTTGGCCAACACCGAAGCATTCTGGGGCAGAGGCCTATGAGCGCAGGCCTAGAGCTTGCTCTTATTGGTCCAGCCTGGGTAAGGGGCGGGCTATAGCCAGCTCCACACAAATAACTGGCCTTTCCTGCGGCTCCGCCCCCAAAGCAATCGCTAACGCCTGTGATTGGCCAGAGCATCTGGGGGCGGGCTCCGAGCTGAGCACGGGGCTTTTTCGTGCTATCTGGGCAGCGAAACTGCCCGCCCCTTCAGCTTCAGCCCGGAGCCCACGCTCGAGGACATGTAAGCAGTCTTTCCCCGACCTGGACCCCTCTCTCCCTTTTATTGGGGCGGGTCCCTCCACGTGTCGGAAGAAGTCTAGCCGCTGTGCTCGTGTCCCAGCTCTGCCCTCTGCCCTCTGCCGAGCCTTCTAACCTCTTAGTCACCACGGGCTTAGTGCACACCTGAGGCAGGGGGATAGTGACGCCGGTGAATAATGTTAATGAAATATGGTAGCAATCATACTTGGGTAAAAACTACTGTTTGAATTTTAACCCTATATTCTGACTTCGACCTTCACTTACTTGCTTTGTTCATGGGCTTAGGGAGGATGTGTTCAAATTCTGGGCAAGGTTACAGGCAGAACTTTCTTTTGCATTAAAGAGCTAGCCCTATGTACACTTAGTGGTTATCTCGATGCTGGCCTCGAAAACAATGGTGTTCTATCCAATTAAAAGAATGCACCTGGCATGGTATTGAGATTGTGGGCATGTCTGGTCTCTGGCCTGCAAGGGCAGACAGCTAAGTTTCTCTTCATCATTCTTCAAACGGGCTAAAGCAAACTAGAAAGCAACATTTTATCTAGGAAGAACAGCAGAAAATTCCAAACAACAGTTTGTTGTAGAATGGGGGTTTTCCTTCTCAGAACCTTTAAAAATAACTACCTGCCCCTAAAGCCTCGCAGTCATTTGGAGTCCGCCTGCGTGCGCCTGCCCTGGCCAGTCAATAAATCCTTGTTTGCTTTTTTAATAAATTACCAGCCTCCGGTGGTCTTATTTTGAACCCAGGGTTCGACCCCACCACAGTTAAGGCCCGCCCTGAGGAAATCCTCTGTCCGTGCTCTGCCCTCCAGGAATGGGCGAGAGAACGTAGACAAATGCACTGAGAGGGGGAGGCATTATTTCTTGCTGAAGGAAACCAAGAAAGGCTCCTTAGGGAAGTCCCCGCGGACCTACAAGGCCTCTAAGATCCTAGGCTTTAGATATGCAGAGACAGGGGTGTGCCAGGTGGAGGAAACTGCAGCAGCAGCAGTTACAGGAGGTGGAATGGTAAAGAGGGCATTGTTGGGTTTCCATGGAGGTTAGGGTCTGTGTAGGGGCTGGTGCATTTTATAGTCCCCTAGAAAAGACATGACTAAAGGCCATTCAACGAGTTACTTTCAGGTGCGAGGCTCAGGAACTGCTGGAAGACAGCCTCTTGGTATTCTTCTCCCTCAATACAAGTTTTGTTCCATCACCTCCAGATTCTGTCTCAGCAGGTGCTCTGCTTCTGGCCCCACTCCCACGTTTCTCTGGTGTAGCTCCCACCTGCAGGGCAGAGGTCTGATTTCTAGTGGGTTTCCTGTGAGATTCCAGCCAGTTTCCTAGAGGCCAGATTATTTATTTATTTTTTAATATATTTTATTGATTTTTTTACAGAGAGGAAGAGAGAGGGATAGAGATTTAGAAACATCGATGAGAGAGAATCATCCATCAGCTGCCTCTTGCACACCCCCAACTGGGGATGTGCCCACAACCAAGGTACATGCCCTTGACCGGAATCGAACCTGGGACCCTTCATTCCGCAGGCCGACGCTCCATCCACTGAGCCAAACCGGTTTCGGCGAGGCCAGATTTTTTAGACAGGCCATCAGGGTTCAAATGCCATTTTTCATACTTAGCTGATGTGCTTCAGTTTCCTCATCTAAAATGAAATAATAGCGCCTACCTGATGGGGTTGTAAAGTTTAGGTGTCGATAGAGTACTTAGGACAATGCCCAGCACAGAGGAGAAATTTGTAACGAATGTGCTGCATTTATGGACCCTTCCAGATCAGAGGTTATGAGAACATAACCAAGGGCCGAGGGTGGGATGACTCCACACACACAAACCCAGTTCCGGGAACCTTTTGGGCTAATAGCCCCTCTTGGTTCCATGACGATTCACTTAGGTCACCCAGGGGAAACCCCAACTTTGCTCCTCTCCCCACTGACCTCTTTCACAGGCACATGTGCGTAAAGATGGAATACTTTATTCACTAACACGGAGCGAGGATTGTAGTGAGGGGAAAGAGGCCGCGGTTTCCAAAAATCCCGGGAGGGGATTTGCCATGTCTTCCAGGTCCCGGGCAGCCAGTTCTGCCATCCCACCCTTTCCCAAACCAGGGTCCGGGGGTCCCTGTCCAGGTTAGTCCAGCCCCTGGGGGTCGGGGCCTGGCATGCTCCTCAGCCAGCACTAGCAGCCCGCAGCCACCAGGGGGCTCATCTGCTCTCGCACTCGGGGCAGCGCTCGGAGACGGTGGCGGCCGAGGTGCCCGGGGGCAGCTGGAAGTCCTGGCCGCACACGGTGCACATGTAGAGACGTTTTAGAAGGTGGGAACGGCGGTGGCGGACGCAGTGCGAGCTGAGGCGGAAGCGCCGGCCGCACTCGCTGCAGGGGTAGGGCCGCTCGCCCGTGTGCGTGCGCGAGTGCTCCGCCAGGTTGGACCGGTGGCCGAAACGGCGGCCGCACACGGTACAGCGGTGCGGCTTCTCGCCCGTGTGCACGCGCCGGTGCTTGGCCAGCGCCGAGCTCTGCGCGAAGCGCGTGCCGCACTCGGCGCAGACGTACGGCCGCTCCCCCGTGTGCGTGCGCCGGTGGCGCGCCAGGCACGAGCTGCCGCCGAAGGCGCGCCCGCAGTCGGGGCAGGTGTAGGGCTTCTCGCCCGTGTGCACGCGCAGGTGCTGCGCGTAGTTGGAGCTCTGGGAGAAGCCGCGGCCGCACTGCGTGCACACGTAGGGCTTCTCGCCGGTGTGGCTCCGCCGGTGCTGCTGCAGGTTGGAGGCGGCGGAGAAGGTCTTGTCGCACTCCGGGCACTTGTAGGGCCGCTCGCCCGAGTGCATGCGGCCGTGCTTGGTCAGCGCCGACTTCTGGGAAAAGCGCTGGCCGCACTCGGTGCACACGAAGGGCCGCTCGCCGGTGTGCGTGCGGCCGTGCTTGGTCAGCGCCGACTTCTGCGAGAAGCCGCGGCCGCACTCGGCGCATTCGTAGGGCCGCTCGCCCGTGTGCGTGCGCGCGTGCTTGGCCAGCGTGGAGCGGCGCGCGAAGGCACGGCCGCAGTCCGGGCAGGCGTGTGGGCGCGCGGGGTCGGCGGGCTGCGCGGAGGCCTTGCTTGCGATCTGCAGGGAAAGAGGAGATAGGTCAGTCCTGACCCACAGGCCCCGGAGCAGGAGACCTGGGTCTCTGCAGGCTGCATGCTCAGTCCCGCTGATGGAAAACAGGGGAGGGTGCCTCCCTCATAGCCCGGCTGCGCACAATTAGGTACTGCATTAATGTCTATAGCGCATGCCCTGTGTCATTCTGCCTGTTCTTTAATAACTTGGCAAGTATTTATTAAGGGCGTACAATGTGCAAACTGTGTTCTAGGCACTGAGATTCAGTATTATATTTTTAAAATTCCTGCTTTGGGGAAAAATGGATGAGTGCTGATATTGGGTGAATGTTTCAAATTTAAATAAGGTTAAAAAACTGATGTAACAAGAGCAAGTGAGAAAGCAGGCTACAGAGGGCACAGCAAGACCCTGAGGCACGGGTTCTCCCAGTGAAGCCCCAAGAATGACCAGAAAAAGTGCGTAGGGCCGAATGCATGGAGGGGAGGGTAATGGGTGGGGTGCCCTGGAGGAGATCACTTAGCCTAGCCAGGACCCTGTAATATGAAAGAGATGGAGAACTATCAGAGACGTTAGACGGTACTTCGCAGGAACATGACTAGATCAGATTCATTTTATTTTTATTTTTTCATATATGTTTTATTTTTTTTTTTTTTTTCCAGAGAGGAACGGAGAGGGTTAGAGAGTCAGAAAACTCGATGAGAGAGAAACACTGGTCAGCTGCCTCCTACACACCCCCTATTGGGGATGTGCCCGAAACCAAGGTACATGTCCTTGACCAGAATCCAACCTGGGACTCTTCAGTCTGCAGGCTGACGCTCTATCCACTGAGCCAAACCGGTAGGGCAAGTATTATGGGATTTAATGGAAAATGTAGGTAAAAGGGAAGTGTCTTCTGAGAGAATGGGGCAGAATAGATTCATTTTAAAAGCCTCCATCAGGATGCTGGGGCAGGAGGAGGCAGCAGGCAGAACAGGAGCCCAGAGAGAGAATTCTGGCAGAATAGAGTGGCTCAGGCCCAGGTGACAGGAAAAGCGAAGCAGTGAAGGTGGCCAGAGTTGTCTGCTTCTGAATATATTTTTGCCGTTTGAGATAACTGATTTGATACATAAGATCAGACATGAGATGTAAGGAAAAGAGGAGTCAAAAGTACTCCAAGGATTTTGAATTTAGGTTCAAACAGAAGTCGAGCTGCCATCTGCAGAGGGGAGGATGGTGGGAAGAGCAAGTTGAAGGGTGAGATCTGTTTCAGGTCACATCTCCAATTTTTGATGATCTGGAGCTCAGGAGACCGGCCTAGGCCAGAGATGTTCATTGGGAAGCCGCCAGCCTGCAGATGGTTTTAAAGGTTGAGGCTGAATGAGATTACCCACGGGATGGGCAGAGAGAACCGAGGCACCAAAATGAGCAGCCAGTGAGGTACGAGAGGATGGCGACTTAGAAGCGAGGCCAAAAGCGAATCCAGGCTTTTGAGTAATGAGCATAGACCCACTGGTGTGGCTTAGTGGTTAAGCCTCATCCCATGAACCAGATCAAGGTTGAATTCCTGGTCAGGGCAAAAGCTCGGGTTTCGGACACCATCCCCGGGAGGAATCCTGCAGGAGGCAGCCCAAGAATGATTCTCTCGGATCATTGATGTTTCTATCTCCCTCTCCCTTCCTCTCTGAAATCAATAAGAAAAAAATAATAATCAGCACAGTAGTGAGTGCTATACATGCGACTAAAAATGGGCAAATACCAAACTAGGTGGTCAGTCAAGGCCCTTTCATGTGTTAAATTCTACAGCTATTAGATTTAAAAATAAGAATAAATAGTGTTGCCAAACCGGTTTGGCTCAGTGGATAAAGCGTCGGCTTTCGGACTGAAAGGTCCCAGGTTCAATTCCAGTCAAAGGCATGTACCTTGGTTGTGGGCACATCCCTAATAGAGGGTGTGCAAGAGGTAGCTGATCGATGTTTCTAACTCTCTGTCCCTCTCTCTTCTTCTCTGTAAAAAATAAAAAATATATATTTTTAAAAAAAGGATAAATAGTATTTGCTTTATACTAAGAGGGTCCAATGGGGATACAATGTAGTATAGTAAGATATATAAAACTTGAAGTTTTTTTTATATATATATTTTAATATATTTATTGATTTTTTACAGAGAGGAAGAGAGAAGGATAGAAAGCTAGAAACATCAATGAGAGAGTAACATCGATCAGCTGCCTCCTGCACACTCCCCACTGGGTGAGTGCCCACAACCAAGGTACATGCCCTTGACCAGAATCGAACCCAGGACCCTTCAGTCCGCAGACCGACGCTCTACCACTGAGCCAAACCGGTTTCGGCTATGTTTTGTGTGTTTTTTTTTTATTTTTATTTTTATTTTTTTTAATCGGAGCAAAGTTCCCAGTTTCCTCCTCAGCTATTACTTGTCCAATTAATAACAGCAGCTATCATGAACTACCTCTCTGTGCCAGGAACTGTGCTAAGTGCTTTTCACCATGTTCTCGGTAAACTCTCACAACCCTGTGGGTTAGGTGTCATTAACTCTACTTTACAGAGAAGGAAACAGGACTCAGAAGGACAGTGACCACCCAAGGCCCTACAGCCAATCAGTGTCACAACTGGGGTCTGAGCTCCAAGTCTCATCATCCCAAACCCCTGTTCTCTTAGCCCTGCTGCAGTTCTACCTCACCGACAAGTGTGAGGTCACCGCACAGCTTGTCTCCCTGCCCGGGACCCCTTTCAGAATCCCCCTTCTTTTAGGTCAGTGTTTCCCAAACTTCTCTCATGATGAGAATCACCTGGTGGAGTTGTTAAACTACAGATTCCTGAATCCCAACTAAGAAGTGCTAAACTAGAATTTTGGGGAATATATAGGTAAAATTGTATACTTAAGCTTAGAGCACTATTTAAGTGTACAATTAAGTTTAGAGCACTAGTTAAGTGTACAATTAAGCTTAAACATGAGAGAAGTTTGGGAAACACTGTTTTAGGTAATATGATCCTATCCTCTAGCTCCTTGCTACAGACCAGCCTTATCAGCATCAGTGGGAACTTGTTAGAATCTCATGTCTTACCACAGACCTACTGAATCAAAATTTTCACTTTCACAAGATTCTCAGGTGATTTGTATGCTTGTTAAAATTAAGACACTTTTGCTGGGACCGGTTTGGCTCAGTGGATAGAGCGTTGGCCTGCAGACTGAAAGGTCCCAGGTTCGATTCTGGTCAAGGGCATGTACCTTGGTTGCGGGCACATCCCCAGTACGGGGTGTGCAAGAGGCAGCTGATCGATGATTCTCTCTCATTGATGTTTCTGACTATCCCCCTCTCTCTCTGTGAAAAATCGATAAAATATATTTTTTTTTAAATAAAATAAAATGAAAAATAAAATAAAATTAAGACACTTTTAATCTAGGAGAGAGGACAACTCCTGGAGAAGGCAGTTGGAAAAGGTGAAGAGGGGTTACAGGCTGGAGGACCACACAGGCAAAGTCTTGGACGTGAGAAAGGGCAGGTGTGTTTGAAGCTCGGTGTGGGTGGGTGTTGGGTCATGAGGTCATGGGGTGCAGAGCTTTGAATGGCAGACCTAGGAGCTGAGACTTTATCCTGAGGGAAACAGAAAAACACTCAAAGGTTTGAGCAAAGAGAGAGAGAGGATTAGATGTGCACAGAGCCCTTGGAGAAAAATCTTGGTGTTCATTAAGGAGAGTTTGGATTTTTAATTTTTTAATATATATATATATTTTATTGATTTTAGAGAGGAAGGGGGAGGGAAAGATTGATAGAAATATCAATGATAAGAAAGAATCATTGATCGGCTGCCTCCTGTATGTCACACACTGTGGATCAAGCCCACAACCCAGGCATGTGCCCTTGACTGGAATCAAACCTGGGATCCTTCAGTCTGCAGATCAACACTCTATCCACTGAGCCAAACCAGCTAGGGCTGGAGATGTTGGATCTTGATAGGCAGTGAGAGAATGACTCGGCACCTGCGTGCAGCATGATTCCGGCCTGTTCTGGACAATGACTGGCCTTGGGACTGGGTGATGACAGTGAAGAGATACAGGATGTCAGCACTGGAGAGAGCTTGGGAGATGACAATTTTCTAGAAACTGAGACTCAGGGAGACCACACAGCGAGCTCATGAGCCATCTTGTGGGCAGAGGGCTGTGCTCGATGTTGATGGCATATGTGTGAGTAATCCTCACTCCCACCCTCCTCCTCCACATCCAGGCACCCAGAGGATACTCAGTCTGGCTTTCAAAAATCTCACTTTCATTATCTCATTTTACAGCTGAGAAAGCCAAGGCAAAGCTGAAAAATGGTGAAGTTGGGATTCGAACCGATGCTTTTAACGGGATCTAGCCCTCCGTACGATTCATGACTAGCCATGCCCAGCCTCCTCCATCCCATCCTTAGCTCAAGCCGGCCCAATCAAGGTTCACAAACATCCCCCACGGCTGTCACTGCCGGAGAGCAGGCTGCCAGCCTTCCATGGCCTGTTCTCCACAACGGCCCATGATCTTCCGGACAGAAAGCCAATTGCCTGCTCTGCTGGGAGCCTCTGATGGCCCCGGGTAACCTCACGCGGTGTGTTATCCCTGTGCTCACTCTCAGCACCTGGAGCTCTCCAGCTCCTCTGAGCCTTTGCTTTTGCTGCTTCCTCCTCCTGGAATGCCCCTCCTCTGCCTCCTTTTGCCGAATCCCCGCAGAGCTGTCTGTGAACCTTCCCCACTGCCTTGAGATGTCTGCCCTCAACCCTCTGTCTAGGCTTCCATGTTGGTATCCCTTTCACACCCAGCCCCGGGATACAGCCCCAAAAGGTCTTCGATAAAAATGAGTTGAAAGTTCTCCAGAAAGCCCTAGCTGGTTTGTCCAGTGGGTAGAGCGTTAGCCTGGGGGCTGAAGGGTCCTGGGTTGTATTGTGGTCAAGGACACATGCCTGGGTTGCAGTTTCGTTCATCAGTAGGGGGCATGCAGAAGGCAGCAGATCAATGATTCTCATCATTGATGTTCTATCTCTCCCACTCCCTTCCCCTCAGAAATCAATACCAAATGTGTATGTGTGTATATATATATATATGTATATATATTTAAAACAATCCTCAAGAAGGATAACAGACCAAGGCCTTAAAGTTTAAGAAGAATAAATATGAATAATATTTACCTAATATTTAGGATGTGCCACACACAATTCTTGCTCTTTACATGGATTAACTCATTCATCCTCACAACCCTAAGAAGTCGGTGCGGGCATGACTTTCCTTTTAGAAACGAGGAAAGTGGGGCACAAAGATATTAAGATTAAGACATTTAATTTAAGAGATTGCCCAAGGTGATACTGCTGGTGACTGATGGAGGTGGAAGTCTACCCTGAGCTCTAGAGTCTGAGTTCTCTTTATTTTTTAAAGAAATATATTTACATTCATTTCAGAGAGGAAGTGAGAGAGATAGAAACATCAATGAAGAGGGAAAATCATTGATTGGCTGCCTCCTACCCCCTCCACCCCTCACTGGGAATCAAGCCTGCAACCTGGCCATGTGCCTTGACCAGAAATCAAACTGTGAATTCCAGGTTCATTGGTTGAGGTTCAACCACTGAGCCACACCGGCCAGGCTGGAGTATGCGTTCTTAACTCCTAGGTGGAATGGGGAGATCAGGAGAGCCTCATGGGCCAGAAGAGGCAGACTAAGCTAGGATGAGGGGCCAGGAGGCCTGAGAAAAACAGACCTACCAAATTATTGTGCCTGGGAGCAGAGGCCAACCCAGCCAGCCCCCGCCCTTAGGGCCCACCGCACCCACTAGGGGGCAGCAGAACGTTCTTTCCCTGGCAACTGGCTCCCTTGCTGGAAGAAACCAGAGCCTGGGCCCAGAAACCTGGCCCAGCCAGAGTTCTCCAGGTATGAGCAGGGCGGCACTGGAGGCTGTGGCAGTTCGGGGCTGGAATGGGGAAACCCAACTCATGTTCTCACATAAAGCTCCTCCCTTTAAACCTGCCTCACCCTCAGGATAAATCCCAAATGCCCTACCCGCCTGCCACACACCCTAGGCTCATCCAGGCTTCTCCCAGTGCCCCACTCACCCCCTGAGCCACTGAGAGGCCCATTTCTTCTGCCTGGAGTCGTCACTCACCTCACCCCTCACTCGCACTGGTCTCAGATTAGCCAAACTGTCAAGCTTCCTGGGCCTCAGTTTCCTCACCTGTAAAATGGGACAAATACTACCTATGTTATAGAACTGAGATGCTTAAAACAGTGTCTGGAGAACAGTAAATGCTACCAAGAGTCAGGGGTCTCTGTTGCCTAACCTGGCCCCTCCCCCACCACGTCTGCATTAGGTTCCCAGCTCTGGGCTTCTCCCCCCTGGTGGCTGCTCTCATCACGCAGGATTGTAGCTGCGCCGTTACTCAGCAGTCTGCCAGTGCTACGCAGCAAGCTCCATGGGAACCAAGGAACATCTGTACATGGTCACCCAGCACAAACGCTGGCACAGAAGGTGTGACACCTCTTTGACCTCAGCATCCCAGTGGGGCAGAAGGATGGGTTGCTGATCCTCAGATTCCAGGTTAGGGATCGGGTTGTGGGACACGTACCTCCTTCTTGTCCACGGGGATCTTGAGCTTCAGCACCTCATACTTCTCCTGGCCCTCCTCCTCATCCTTCACCAGCAGCACCATCTCCTCTTGCATCTCCTCCTCCTTCAGCGTCTGCTGTTCGTCAGGCATCTTGGTGTCCTAGGGTGGGCAGCTGGGTCAGAAGCTCAGGACCACCCCCCCCCCGCCCCCGCCCCGCCCCCGGCCCCCGGCCCCGGCCCAGGCAAGACGGTGCAGCCGTGGCTTCTCAACCCCGACCTGGTGTCTGGGTCTGGCCCTCTCCTTCCCACCCCAGCTCGGCCCTAGGCACCAGCACTTGCCCGCGACCAGCTCCGAAGACACTTGTTCACCCCACGCATCCCTGCGAGAAAGGCCCAGAGCAGTGCGAATCTCCAGTGCCAACGCGTCGCCACCCTCCCGCGCCGAGTCACTGCCGGGCGCCTGGGCCGGCTCCGGGGCGCCGGCTGCAGGCGGGGTGGTGCGGAGACCTGGGGGTGCGCACTCACCAGCTGCGGGTTTCGCATTAATGCAACCCCCCAACCAGGACAGGGCTCCCCGGGTTTGGACACTTGCGATGCTCCGGGGGCGGGGCCTCTGGAAGACCTGTCATTGGTCATATAGGCTAGCCCCGCCCCTAGGGGAGGGGCCAGGAAGACCCAGGCGTCCAATCCGAGCCGCCCCTGGAGGATGGAGAGCCCAGATGCAGTGGCCTCCGCCGTTCCCCAGCCTCCAGGGCCCCGGCCGCTGCACCCCGACCTTCCAGGGCCTCGCGGTCCGGTTCTGACCCACCTTCACGGCGTCTGTCCTGGGCGCGGCTCGGAGGTCTCCGCTGCGGCCGAGCACGTCCGCTCCGCCCAAGAGGCCACGTGCGCTCCGGCCGGGCCTGGGCCTCTCGCGGGCGCCCCGCCTGGAGGGCGGACCCTGTTGCCTCCTCCGCTCTTCCCTTTCCTCCTCCGCTGTCTTTTCTCCTTTACCTGCGATGCTTTTCCTAAATCTGAGATATCGTGCTCCTTGAAAATATGCTTACCCAATTTACACCCACATAGGGTACCGCTGCCCTGTCCTGTGTCAAGGCCTGCTATGCAGCAGCAAGCTATCTTGAAAATTAAATACGTGTCGAATTGGCAGGGGGGCGGGGGGGGGGGTGTATTTGGTTAATTCCCACGCGAGAATATTTTTTCAATTGATTTTTAGAGTGGAAGGGAGTGGGAGACACACAGAGAGGCGGAAACATAGATGTGAGAGAGACACATCAATTGCTAACCTTCTGCAGGAACCCAGATTGGGACCGGGATCCAGCCTGCAACCGAGGTGCATGCCCCTGACCGGAATGGATACCCGGACCCTTCAGTCCTCTAATCACAGAGCAAAACCGGCTAATGCGTAACACTAAATGTATTGGGGGAAATCAACACCGCTCAAAATCCAGTCTCCTTCAGACCATATATTTGACTCCTTTCCCTGGTCCTCACCTTTCCCCCATTCACCCCACCCGGCCCTTCTACCTTCTGCTGTGTTGTCTGTATCTATGAATTTATTGATCTCTTTTTATCTACACAAAGGTGTGTCCATTTTATGGAGCTGGGCTAATTGAATATTTGTGCCTCCCCAGAGATAGGCAAAGGTGTTAAATGGCTGAATACTCACACTCAAGATCCCCAAAGCCACTTTGATTGTGTTCATTCTCTCAAGTATTCAGTGAGCCCTACTATGTACCTGGCACAATTCTAGGTATTGGAGATGCAGTAGTGAACAGAGGAGACAAAAATCTTGACTACCAGGGTCCTCCTAAGGGTGTAAAAAAATGAACAATAATCAAGAGGATTTCAGACGAGATCGGGCACGTTCAGGGTGGTATGGCCGTAGACTCAAGAGGATTTCAGATGATGATAGGTAGGAGAGGATGAGACGGGGAGTGGTGGGTTGGGGGCTTCTTGAATGGGCAGGGAAGGCATCTCTGAGGAAGTAATATCAGATGCCTTGAATGACGAGAAAGCGTTAGCCATTTGAAACTCTGGAGGAAGAGTGTCTAAAGAGAACTACGGCCTGGCTGACGTGGCTCAGTGGTTGAGCGTCAACCTATGAACCAGGTGGTCATGGTTCAATTCCGGGTCAAGGTACGTGTCCAGGTTGGGGGCTCAATCCCCAGTGTGTGGTGTGCAAAAGGCAACCAATTAATGCTTTTCTCTCATAACTGATGTTACTATCTCTCTCTCCCTCTCCTTTTCTCTCTGAAATCAATAATAACAATAATAATAATAAATGAGAGAACTACAGAGGCGTTAAGGTAGGAATGAGTTTGGCCTATTTGAGAAACAGAAGGCTATGTGGCTGGAGCCAAGTAAATTAAGAGGGAAATGTGGTGTGGAGGATGGAAGTGGGTTTCGGTAGGCAGGGACCGGTTATGGCTGGAACCCCACCTCTAAAGAGGCCAGGCCTGCTTGCCCTGATTCAGGAGTCAGTGGGAGACTGGGCTGGGAGCACTGAAAGTTCCTTCTAGAAGGGCTTCTGCTATGGAAGGACTAAGGAACAGTCCTTTGAAAAGGACATCCATTTGCTCTGCAAACATGGACGAGCATCTACCTAGAAATGGAACTAATTCCTGTTCTTGAGAATCTCATAGTCTAGTAAAGAAGATTGTGATGAAAATGCACAGGGGTATATATAATTAAATTCACATATAGCCTGGCCAGTGTTGCTCAGTGCACATACCCGGATTGCAGGCTTGATCCTCAGTGTGCAAGAGGCAGCTGATCGATATTTCTCTCTCACTGATGTTTCTCTCTATCCCTCTCTCTTCCTCTCTGTAAAAAAATCAATAAAATATGTTAAAAATTAAAAATTAAAAAAAATGAGTGGGAGTTTGCCAGGTTAACAAAGAGGTAGCAGCTTGGGAGATGGTCCAAGGACACTTCACCGAAGTACTTAGTGAGGCCTACTGTGTGCCTGGCCCCTTTGCGGACTGGGAGGTAGAAAGTTGAATTTGGGAAAGTCTTTATCTTCCTCCTTACTCTGCATGTCACACAGTATTTGTCTTCAGCCTCACTAGAACTTCAGGTCTTGAATCCCCAGCAACTTGTGCATACTCTTCACTCTGCCTAGAGCACTCTGCCTCCTGCCCCACCCCCACCCCACTTCCTCCTTTCTCAGTTTATTCCAAGTCATTCTTTACCACTTCTTTAGAGGAGAGCCCTTTGGATCACACAGGAGAGGCCTTTGGTTTTTACTGTTGTTGTTTGTTTGTTTGTTTTTTAAATATATTTTTATTGATTTCAGAGAGAATGGAAGAGAGAGAGAGAGAAACATTAATGATGAGAGAATCATTGAGCAGCTGCCTCCTGCATGCCCCCCACTTGGGATTGAGCCTGCAACCCAGAATTGAACCTGGGAACCTTCAGTCTGAAGGCTAATGCTAAGGCTGGAGAAGCCTCTGGATCACACAGAATTCTCTGCTGCCTGTGTGCTTCTAGCATAGTCCTTACCACACTTGAAATCACCTGTTCAGTGGGAATCTTCCGTGTAGAAACTGAGGGCTTATTTATCCTTCTGTTCCTAGTAACCAGCACACACTAGGTCATGCTATTGAGTGACTATCCACAAGAAACTCTAGATGTTGTCAAGGTAAGAAACATTGAAACCTGAAGAGAAATTTTGTGACTTTATTTGAGCTTGACAATTATTGGGAAGCAAAGTCTAAAAGGACCGAGACAGTGTTATAGAGAATGGCAGTTTTGCTCTCTATGTTATACACTAATGGCCTGGTGCACGAATTCGTGCACATTGAAAGGAAATTAATTAGAAGAAATATTTTAATATGTCTATTTATCCTTTCTCTATAATAGAACTGCTAAGCCACACCAGCCAGGCTAAGTGGTCTTTGAAGTCTTCTTTTCCCAGGAGTTTGCAGTGAAATGAAATGTTACTAATTTGTCAGTTTCTAAAAGCTGGCAATGAGCCGAAACCAGTTTGGCTCAGTGGATAGAGCATCAGCCTGGGGACTGAAAGATCCCAGGTTTGATTCTGATCAAGGGCATGTACCTTGGTTGCGGGCACATCCTCAATGGGGGTGTGCAGGAGGCAGCTGATTGATGTTTCTTTTTCATCGATGTTTCTAACTCTCTCTCCCTTTCCTTTCCTCTCTGTAAAAAATAAATAAAATATATTAGAAAAAAAAAAGATTCCTACTACATGACCTTTTTAATACTCACCGGAGGATGTTTATTGATTTTAGAGAGAGAAGAAGGGAGAGAGAGGACTATTGATGTGAATGGGAAACAATGATTTGTTGCCTCCCCCCACCCCCATATGTTTCTCAATAGGGAATCAAACCCACAATCTTTTGGTGTTTGAGACAATGGTCTAACCAACTAGTCACACTGGCCAAGGCAAAGGTTCCCCTACCACGCCTTTAAAAACTATATATTTTTTTATTGATTTCAGAGAGGAAGGGAGAGATAAAGAGAGATAGAAACATCAATGATGAGAGAGAATCATGGATTGGCCACCTCCTGCATGCCCCTATTGGGAATCAAACCCGAAACCCAGGCACGTGCCCTTGACTGGAATCAAACCCTTTGGATACTGAATCTAATGCTGATGCTCTATCCAATGGGCCAAACCAGCTAGGCAAAGGTTCCCCGTTTTGTCCCTTTTTCTCCTCCAGCTGTCCATTAGCACAGTAAAAGTGAGTCTTGCTGATTTCATAGGAAGCAAGGAGCATTCTCATATCTAAATAATGCATCTGTCCAGCTGCAGCTTCAGCTAAATGATCTCCTATTGCTGTCATTGCGGCAGCTTTAGAAGGTCCTGGAATTGTGATAATTGCCAATTGTTTCCATTTCTGTATGACATCTAATAATTCTGCAACCTATTTTCTATTCTTTATGCGCTGCCCTGAGAACATTAAGAAGCTTCACTGTTTCGCCAAGACCGGTTTGGCTCAATGGATAGAGCGTCGGCTTGGGGACTGAAGGGACCCGGGTTCGATTCCGGTCAAGGGCATGTACCTTGGTTGCGGGCATGTCCCCAGTGGGGGGTGTGCGGGAGGCAGCTGGTCGATGGCTCTCTCTCATCGATGTTTCTATCTCTCTCCCTTCCTCTCTGTGCAAAATCAATAAAATATATTTTAAAAAAAAAAAAAGAAGCTTCACTGTTTCTACAACATTCTAGAGTTGTGAGCTACACCAAGGGCATAGATTAGTAAAAATATTGGCTATTTGATTGTTGGCCAATTGATAAGCCTGAGTTGGAATAATTAATTCAGCTTGTTGGACAGATTTTATTCAGGTAAATGAGAACTTTCGATTATATCCACCCTGGAAGTTAATTGCGTATCCAACTAGGTAATATCACTGCTCACCTTTCCCAGCTCCATCTGTAAATCAAATTAAGTCAGCATTAGCAAGAAGTTGTCTGTAAACCATTCCTAGGAACAAGAAGGTGGTCAGTGAGCAAAACATAATCACTGTCTTCATCCTGCAAAGGTAGTTGGCTCAGTGGATAGAGCATCGGCCTGCGGACTCAAGGGTCCCAGGTTCGATTCCAGACAAGGGCGAGTTAACACTGTTACATCAGCCCTGACAGTATGGGCCGTTTTGCCAGTTCAATTCCTGACGAG